CCGCCATTTTATGGGATTATTACATTATTCATTTATTGTAAGATGATTTGTTTATACATTTAAAATTAACTATTTTTGTATTTGCTCTGTCAATATGTTAAGATACTTGATGCCTCGATCAGAAAATTGCATATATATATATATATTTGAAATATTTTGCAGCCCAATTGTTGAATTAAAAAAGAGGGTAAACATAAAAAAATGTTTATCAAACGTTTCGACAGTTAATGTGTGTCATTAAAGAGTAATCAAACCATGAAATACAAACAGAAAATTTGTTATAAACACTCAAATTGTGTAAAAGAACATCATAACTAATAAATAATAAAATGACAAAATTAAGGAGGACATAATGCTCCAATTTAAAAACATGATGCAACAACATATTAACCCTATTTTTTAATTGGACTATTGGGCTGCGAAATAATAGAAATAATTTATTTATATAACAAAATTATTAATTGTTCAAATTCGTTAAAATGTCTTAGTAGAATTCAAAAGTATCGCCGGAAGTGACCACAATCGATATTTGAGACAGGTTGGACATATTGTCTCGATATACATGTCTTCTTTGTTGTCTACCCTGATGACACGTGACAGGCGACCGGATGACACTTCCCCGAACAATGGCAAACGCAAGGTTTCTTGGTCGCCGGGCGTCATTGCACAATTCTTTTTAATCTCAGCCATCGCGGGAAGAAGATCTTGGGAATCCAGAGGAAACTCTAGTAATAGGAAGCCAGTGGACGCTCAAGTAACGAGTAAGTGCATTTTCCACATGTTAATCATTTTATTTTGCCATTGTGCCATGTCAAAGTAAAAGGCTGTGTCTGGCCGAGTGTATTTTTGCATTAATGATTTTACGTGACGGGTTTGAAAATTATTTGTGGATTCGAAATTTATGCAGGTGTTTTTACTTGATCTATCCCAAGGGTGCTACGAATATTCATCACTACAAATTGACAGAGTTTGATTTTTAACACATTGTGAAGAAAAATGGCGCGTCAAATCTTACACGAAGGCTGTGTCTGGCCGAGTATATAATTGCATTAGTGATTTTACGTGACGGATTTGAGAATTATTTGTGGATTCGAAGCTTATGCAGGTGTTTTTTACTTGATCTTTTTCAAGGGTGCTACGAATACTCTTCACTACATACTGACAGATTTTGATTTGATTTTGAGGTTAGTTTGGTTTGTAACACATTGACAAGAAAAATGGCGCGTCAAATATTATACGAAGGCTGTTTCTGGCCGAGTATATAATTGCATTAGTGATTTTACGTGACGGGTTTGAAAATTATTTGTGGATTCGAAGCTTATGTAGGTGTTTACTTGATTTTTCCCAAGGGTGCTACGAATACTCATCACTACATTTTGACAGATTTTGATTGAGGTTAGTTTGATTTTTAACACATTGTGAAGAAAAATGGCGCGTCAAATCTTATACGAAGACTGTGTCTGGCCGAGTATATTTTTGCATTAGTGATTTTACGTGACGGGTTTGAGAATTATTTGTGGATTCGAAGCTTATGCAGGTGTTTTTACTTGATTTTTCCCAAGGGTGCTACGAATACTCATCACTACATTTTGACAGATTTTGATTTGATTTTGAGGTTAGTTTGATTTTTAACACATTGTGAAGAAAAATGGCGCGTCAAATCTTATACGAAGGCTGTGCCTGGCCGAGTATATTTTTGCATTAATGATTTTACGTGACGGGTTTGAAAATTATTTGTGGATTCGAAGCTTATTCAGGTGTTTTTACTTGATTTTTTTCAAGGGTGCTACGAATACTCGAAGTGACGTGACTCATCACTACGTATTGACAGATTTTGATTTGATTTTGAAGTTAAGTGTTTTTACTTGATCTTTTTCAAAGGTGCTACGAATACTCATCATTACGTATTGACAGATTTTGATTTGATTTTGAGATTAGTTTGGTTTGTAACACATTGACAAGAAAAATGACGCGCCAAATCTTGCGATCATAGATGAATATCTAGTGTTTTCATGCAGTTTAAGAATGCAGCCAAGAACCATTGATAATATTGCTTTGATACAAGTGGTCGTTTTTCAGTTTTTGTTGTGTTTTCTATATTAACGTATATCGCATCAATTGGAATTCTATCTCCATTGCTAGCAATTATAAAGTTTATTTGCTTTAACGATCCTGGCTCGTGATAAAAATTTTGACCCAAAAAAATCAGGTTCGAGCATAATGTGATTTTACTTGATTGAAGGATTTCAATATTTCTTCTTTTCATAATTTAGAAAGATTTTGTAATGCTAATATAAATTCTTTCTTTAATGCTAATATCAATTCTTTTTATACAAAAGATATTGTACTTAAATGAAGCAGATGCATTAATTTTAATTTAATGATTGTGAAAACAAAGTACTTTTGCACAATTGAATGTCACCATCACGATGAAATAAAGACGTGTAATGTCTTGTATTGAAAATTTAAAAGATTTAGGTACACAATAATTATACATTTTAACCTATTTCATTAACAGTTTTCTGTTTCAATTATAAAAGCCTCTGAATATTTATATAATCCCCTTGATGAAAAGAAAATTCTGTTACAAATATTTTACTTTAAGACAAAGTATTATCTATCATAATCATGTTACATATTATTGTTGACTGCTGCTACGATGGACCCAGATTTAAAGTTTCCTAGGCAAAATGCATCGAGGCTATGTCATGTGAACACTGCAAATACTTTTATCTTTTATAACAAAGAATTACTGTAATAATGTCAAAGATACGTGCAATATTTAATTTTAGATAGACATAAAAAGAGTAATGAAAACTTAATTTTACCTTTTATATTTCAGCTCTGCTATAAAATGAAAGCTGTCGACAACAAGAATGAAGTAATTGCATTATAACAATGAGTCGACTCTGGAATGAGAATTCTGTTATCTTATCGAACCCCAATTAAGGATGGCAACCCAAAAGACAGGATATCTGCTGTGAGGGATCAAAAAAGCCTTTCCTGGAAAGGCCTATTTATTAAATGGAATACGCTTTGAGACTTCAAGGTATGTAATTTATTTTATCATTTGCTTATTTATTTATATATCTTATTATTTTGATATTTGATTCATTAAGAATTTATTTATATTTTTTATTTTATTTTAATTTTTTTTATATATTGAACTTTCTGAAGGGGAAGTTTGTTTTTATCAAAAAATCTGATTTGCTATTTTGTTTTCTCGAAGTTTCAAGCCATTTTGAATTGAATGAGGCCACATATGGAAAAAGATTTTCAATAATGTGTAATAAATCCACTTGAAATACTAATAAATCACTAAAATTTATTTCTCAATTAGATTGTTTACACATATCGTAAAGTTCATGTAATGTGCTTTAAGGCAAAATACACATACCCCTTACAAATAGTTCAATTTTTTGTTTTCATGTTTACTTATTTAGCTAATTTTTTATTTATTCATGGAATTAATTGATATTTTTTTACTTATTATTTTTAATTTTTTTACTTACAAATTTGATATGTTATCAACTTTCTGTAGTTTTTCTACGTTATAGTAATCGTCCAAAAATCGAAAATGATAATTTTTGCATATCTTCGCGTTTCAAAAGTTTCTGAAAATTTTGCCAAACTTTATAAATAATCGATGTGTATGTGTTTTGTTTGTGCATACAATTTTTTGTCCTATTTGAAAAAAATTATACTTTTTGAGAGAACAAAGCTTTTGATTTTTTTTTAATTTCAAGTGTTTTTTAATTTCCAAATGTTTAGTTGAGTATCAATAATCATTCGCATTTTAATTTTAATTCTAATTCACATTCTAAAGTTTACTTATACTTCAAAACAATTATTTTAACTCTGCAATTCAGTTGATTAATTCTTAGAAATATGAGATAAAGTCTTTTAATCTAACTCTGTTTGAAATTCACTTTTAATGTAAGCATATATCAACGTCGTCGTCTATAAAATAAGAAAAATGAAATTGACAGTATTTAAAACAATCTATTTGAAAATATTTGATAATACTTGAATATTTTATTAGAGTCAGTTCCACTAGCCTGTTTCTAAAATTATTGATTTATACATTTATCTATTGTTTTAATTATTTTGTTTATTTATATACTTTTCATATCAATTATTTATTCATTTAGCTTATTTATGCTCTAGTTTATTTTTTTCAATTTTGCTCATTCGTTGATTTTTCATATAAATTATTTGTTTATACATTTATCTATGTTCATTTATATTTTTTTATTTTAATCAAAAAATAAATGTAATGTCAATTATTTAAATTGATAAGTGTCTAACCATGTCATTTTTTAAGCTATGTGAAGTGGCTCCGCCGGCGACTTTATGGCAAACTAAGTCTACGCGGTTGTCAACTCGCTCATTTATGTGATGGACAGCAATGCAAGAGGACCTCCAGGACCAAGGGAGAGGACCCAGGGAAGTACAAGTGACATGAAAACGCGAGCAAAATTAAACAAATCATTGTCGGGTTCTCATTCATTCGCGTTTGCTTGCATTGTATTTTAATTTTGCGCAATTTCTTTTAACAATTTGTAACGGCGACAGTAGATTGTGAACGGCATACGTAGTTTAACGCAATTGTATCTATTTTACAGATATAAACTCCTGCGATATAGTATTCAATATTGTTTCAACTCTACCTTGTTAATAAATTATTCATTATGTAATCCCGTGATTCAGATAATTACTTGCATGATAATATAGTAGTTTGGGGTGGTAGCAATGCATGTAGGTAGCATTCGTAGTTTTAGTTTAGACTGACACACTAACACAATAATCCACTATTAAATAAAAATGTAATAATCTGAATCATTCGACATTATGTATTACTTAATTATATAATTTTTAAACTATTGTCTATTATAAACAACTGCTGCCGTTTGCAATCCATATAGCATTGCGCCAATTTATTATTATTCTTATAAGTTGTTACATTGATGCACTAACTTTTTTTCATCACTTTTAGGGCGTTCTTGGAAATCAATGGACAAAGTGTGAGCACTAAAAGTTATCAACCCATGAAACAGCTTGAATCTGGGATTTATATATTTAATTTTCACCGACAGATAACTTCAACTACTTCAGCAGTATGTGTTATTTATCAATCATTAAAAGATGTATTCTAATCTTGTTTTTTTATTTCAGATTCACTTCTCCTGCACCACTGAATCACCAGCCCTCATCGCCTTCAAATCATCAAACAGTAAGCACTTACCGAGTATCTATCAGACAGTCTGTATATTTTATCAAACATTTTAAAAGATGCATTCTAATCTTTTGTTTTTTTTATTCCAGATTCAATTCTCCTGCACCACCGAACCACCAGCCCTCTCATCGTCTTCAATCTATCAAACAGTAAGCACTTATCGAGTATCTATCAGGCAGTCTGTATCCTTTACCAAACATTTTAAAAGATGCATTCTAATCTTTTGTTTTTTTTATTTCAGATTCATTCTCCTGCACCACCGAACCACCAGCCCTCATCGTCTTCAATCCATTGAGTGTCTATCAGGCAGTCTGTATCCTTTATCAAACATTTTAAAAGATGCATTCTAATCTTTTGTTTTTTTTATTTCAGATTCAATTCTCCTGCACCACCGAACCACCAGCCCTCATCGCCTTCAATCCATCGAGTATCTATCAGGCAGTCTGTATCCTTTATCAAACATTTTAAAAGATGCATTCTAATCTTTTGTTTTTTTATTTCAGATTCAATTCTCCTGCACCACCGAACCACCAGCCCTCATCGTCTTCAATCCATCGAGTGTCTATCAGGCAGTCTGTATCCTTTATCAAACATTTTAAAAGATGCATTCTAATCTTTTGTTTTTTTTATTTCAGATTCAATTCTCCTGCACCACCGAACCACCAGCCCTCATCGTCTTCAATCCATCGAGTGTCTATCAGGCAGTCTGTATCCTTTATCAAACATTTTAAAAGATGCATTCTAATCTTTTGTTTTTTTTATTTCAGATTCAATTCTCCTGCACCACCGAACCACCAGCCCTCATCGTCTTCAATCTATCAAACAGTGTAAGCACTTATCGAGTATCTATCAGGCAGTCTGTATCCTTTATCAAACATTTTAAAAGATGCATTCTAATCTTTTGTTTTTTTTTATTTCAGATTCAATTCTCCTGCACCACCGAACCACCAGCCCTCATCGCCTTCAATCCATCGAGTGTCTATCAGGCAGTCTGTATCCTTTATCAAACATTTTAAAAGATGCATTCTAATCTTATGTTTTTCTATTTCAGATTCAATTCTCCTGCACCACCGAACCACCAGCTCTCATCGCCTTCAATCCATCAACAGTAAGCACTCATCGAGTATCTATCAGGCAGTCTGTATCCTTTATCAAACATTTTAAAAGATGCATTCTAATCTTTTGTTTTTTTTATTTCAGATTCAATTCTCCTGCACCACCGAACCACCAGCCCTCATCGCCTTCAATCCATCGAGTATCTATCAGGCAGTCTGTATCCTTTATCAAACATTTTAAAAGATGCATTCTAATCTTTTGTTTTTTTTATTTCAGATTCAATTCTCCTGCACCACCGAACCACCAGCTCTCATCGCCTTCAATCCATCAAACAGTAAGCACTCATCGAGTGTCTATCAGGCAGTCTGTATCCTTTATCAAACATTTTAAAAGATGCATTCTAATCTTTTGTTTTTTTTTATTTCAGATTCAATTCTCCTGCACCACCGAACCACCAGCTCTCATCGACTCTAATCAGACTGTAAGCGCTCATGAAAGATCAGTCGACAATCAACTGCTTGGGTTTTGGAACACTAATTCTTAAGCACAAGTGGTTCTTTTTGTAACTGTTTAGTCTTGCATGCATGTTCTTGCCAGTAGTCTTACTAACTCAATAACAATACTAACATTTTAATAACGTAGTTTGATCAGTTACAATAAAAACCACTTGTTGCACTTACTTAAGAAGACTTAGTGAAACGGCTCATAGAAACACTCGGTGAGTTACATTTTTGTAATGTATTATAGTAGTCTGAATTAATTACTAATAAATGCTTTTGTTCACAGGGTAAGCAATGATCGCTTCAGGATTGCCCTCAACTTACACACCTGCCTGCCTGCATTGGGACATATCTTGCTGGTCAGAAACAACATTAACTCAATGGTGTTCGTAGAGAAAATACTTTGCTGTGCGTTCAATCAGGGTTATGACTTGGATACTTATGTTATATTCATCTAATATTCACTAAATACATTGTTTTATTAATTCAACAATTGTTGTTTGAATTTTCATTAATGCTTATAATATGTTACTTATAATATGTTACTTAAATTATATAATATTTTGAATTATTTTGATATCATAGGTGTATAGAAGAATGTCGTCCGTCAGTTGTGATAGATCAAGACAAAGTAGACTGATTGGCAACCGATTGGCTCTATTGTGAAGATTGCAGATACAGCAGTTTAGACATTGAAACATTCGTTGGGCACAGAAATATAAGTATTAAAATATTTTTATACTTGATATATATACTTAAGAATTATGTTAAATAATTTTAGTTTTTAGGCTTATTTGACGAAACTTTAGGGGTCTTCTGAATGATTTGCACTCTGGTCTCACTTTACTTGAACGTCTTGGATTTTGGTCTCATCTTGCTCGAATAGCCTGCGGCCTGGTCTTGTACTTGTAAAGCCCCTGGTCTTGTACTCGTAAAGCCCCTGGTGCCTCTGTGCTTTTACCCTGGTGTCTCTGCACTTGTACTTTACCCTGGTGTCTCTGCACTTGTACTTTTACCCTGGTGTCTCTGCACTTGTACTTTTACCCTGGTGTCTTGTCTCTGCACTTGTACTTTTTACCCTGGTGTCTCTGCACTTGTACTTTTACCTGGTGTCCTCGCACTTGTACTTTTACCCCTGGTGTCTCTGCACTTGTACTTTTACCCTGGTGTCTCTGCACTTGTACTTTGGACTTACCCTGGTGTCTCTGCACTTGTACTTTTACCCTGGTGTCTCTGCACTTGTACTTTTACCCTGGTGTCTCTGCACTTGTACTTTTACCCTGGTGTCTCTGCACTTGTACTTTTACCCTGGTGTCTCTGCACTTGTACTTTTACCCTGGTGTCTCTGCACTTGTACTTTTACCCTGGTGTCTCTGCACTTGTACTTTTACCCTGGTTTCTCTGCACTTGTACTTTTACCCTGTGTCCTCTGCACTTGTACTTTTACCCTGGTGTCTCTGCACTTGTACTTTTACCCTGGTGTCCCTGCACTTGTACTTTTACCCTGGTGTCTCTGCACTTGTACTTTT